ATGTATCACTTATTGACTTAACACTAAGTGACGATGATGATGATGACGTCAAGGGAAAAGAAGCAGTGTGTGACAAAGAGCTTGATAGTGCCAGTCGTTCCCTAACTTTTCAAGTTAAGAGTGAAGTGGATGTGAAAAATGAAATGGATGAAACATGTGAAGGCGGTGAAAATCTTGGCTTTAGTGATGATGAAAGCAGTCTACCTGATCTTTCCTATTACAGAAATGACAAACAATTGCCGATCTACAGTGATCGCAGTCCAGAATTAAGAGAGATTTTTCGTCTGTGTCTAAAACAAGATGTACCCGAGGAAAGATTAGTTACTCAAAAGCCATTACGAATCGAAGAAAAAGCTACGTTTGTCGTAAACCAGGTGAAAGCAAAAGTTAAGCACCCAAAAGACCTTGACGCCGACGACACACCAGGCTCGTTCATCAAGAAAGAACAAACCCGATTTTACCAGGTAGACATAGACGACGACGGCGAAATGAACATCAGCTGCGAGGTTGAAACTGTAAAGAATGCCGATGGACAAGTTATTTCCGGAACATTCAGAAAAAGAAGAGGAAAAACATGGACGGTGGAACGCGCTCACACAGACAAATTGTACGCAGTGATTCGTAAACGAGCGGTTCACAAAGCTACCCTTGAAAGGTACAAGACGGACTTTACCAAATGCATCGTTTGGATTATGCCATTACATGAGTATAATGCAAAGTACACTACCCTGAAGAACCTGCCAACGTACACACTCTGTTGCCCGAACATGATATTGTACTACTACTTTAACACTGGAAAGTCTGTTCCCATTGTAGCAACAAAGCATGGAAACGCCAAAGCCAACGCCTCGGATTTTCGTCCAAAGGAACATTCCTTCAAGCAAAACTGTAAAGAGATGGCTAAAACAGACACCAGAGCCCCCCGGCTCATATGCCAGGAGTTACAAGAAGAGGTCAGCATATTAGATTCCATCTCCGATTCATCCTCAGCACGTGATCCAAAGCAAATCACCAATTACAGACAAAACTATGGCCCATCTTCTAAATCGAAAAATGTTGATGTCGTTCGTGATATAATCTTCGAACTGCTGGAGCAAACAAGTACTGAAAGCCAACCAATGGTGTTAGAAAAAAGCCAACCATTTATCCAAGAGCTAATAGTTCGACACGGAAAGCAGGTGGGAGTTGTTGCGTTTTTACAGCAAACTGTGAAAGATTTGGAACGGTTTTGTACTAGCAAAGCAAATATGTCATTTACCAGTCCACTCTGCACAGACACCACATTTAACATCGCAGAATATCTGGTGACCCAAACCACCTACAAACAACTAACTGTACTGAAGAGGGACGGCCTAAGCCACCCATGGTTCCCTGGGCCCATCTTTGTTCACAGGAACCAAAAGCAAGAAGATTTTGCCTATTTTTGGCAAGCAGTCAAACGATGAAACCCTACTCTCTCTGAATTACTTGTGTTGGGAACCGATGAAGATAGTGCATTGCCAGGAGGAATTTTGAGTGAAACATCAGGAAACACAATCCACCTATTAGGGAAAGAGCACGTCTTGGCCAACGTTGAAAAGAAACTAGTTGCACTAAATTTCCCTCTTCCACAGAGAAGAATCATCTTGAACGACATCTTTGGAGGTCCTAACCAACCTTTGAAAGACTGCCTGTATGAATGTGAGTCCAAAGAGGTATTTGACCAAAAAGTCAAGATTCTCAAAGCGAAGTGGACAGACATAGAGCGCGAACACACAAGAAATAACCCCCCGAACAAATTTGTGACTTACTTCGTGGCATACAAGGAGAAACAAATCCGGGATAAGATGATTAAGATGGTTAGAGAACAAGCAAGAATTAAAGGTGAATATGGGCAGAACCCGATCGAGTGGCTGAATCACCTTACAAAAGAAGAAATAGATGCCCATGGAGAAGGCCAAAGCCATCGAGATGCTTCACTGACCTTTGCCTTGACTGCGTTGAAGAACAGGTAAACAAACAGTAGTTTGATTTATGGAAGGAGAGTGATAACTACAGAAATGAACATATTAATATATTTCGTTTTCTTTTCATTTTCGTTTCATTTTTATTTCATTTTCGTTTCTTTTTCATTTTCATTTCATTCTTACATGCGCTGTTTTTATGTGTTTCAATGAGCGCGCTTTCAGTTGACTTGTAACTTAAGCCTAATAATAATAATGATAATGAATTAATGAATGAATGTGTGAATGAGTGAATGAATGAATGAATGAATGGAAACATAATAAACAATATTGTTTCGCGGTTTATAGTGTTATCGCTCTAGGTAGTTTTTTAGTAAATTATTATTTTCATTATCAGTATCATACTATTATYATTCACAGGTATGTTCGCCTATRCGAGAACCTTGTCAAGGCCATCTACGATGAAGGTCCCTACATTTTAGCACCTGCATTCAGCCACTTGTGCAGGACATACGGAGAGTGGAAGGATRTGTCAAGAGATTCCAAATCTCAACATATAAAAGTCCTGCTGAATCATGTGCCAATCCCGGATGTCATGACTAGACAAGAGTCATATGCATCTGCAATGCCAGCCAATGACACAAATGTGAACCAAAATGGCCCATCTGCACAGTCTTGTCAACGACAAACCCAGTCAAGCACTACTACGAGTCATCCCCGACGATTAGTATTTACAGCTGAAGAGGCAAACCTTCCGCCTGAATCCATTCCCTTACACAGCCTTCAGGAAATCTTCAGAAAAGCAGAGCTTCTTTTGAATGAGCCAGGGGCCATTATGACAGGTGCCTCCAATGAAGCAAGGCTTYGAACAGTCAAGAGCAGATATGGCGTTGACCCTCTAATTGTTAAGCCTTATGCCAAAAACCGAAACATCTTYGAATGTAATTGCAAAGTYTTCCAAGGCATGGGTATTTGCCCWGACACAGTCGCGGTTGCCGAAGACAACCAAATCTTGTTCG